AGCAGGAATAGAGGGTTTATCGGACTGTGGAGGCATATTAACATTAAATAAGAGGGAAATGATCGGAAAATAGAGAGTCACACACTTCAGTAATAACAACAGGCAGCCCATGAGAAATCACAAGGTCCAGTGTATGTCCAAGCTCATGTGTAGGGCTATGCACCAACTGAGTGAGGTTAAAAGAGTCAATAGTACTTAAAAAAATCTTTAGACAAAGGGTCAGCCATACAACATACATGAATGTTAAAATCACCAAGGATTAAAGGCCTGTCAAACTTTGGCAAGATAAAACCCAGGAGATCATAGAACTCCTGAATAAAGTCCTTATTAAATTTAGGAGGACGATAAACCACAGCGCACAGCAGCGGTTGAGAAAGTTTTATCACAAACAACTGTAGTTCAAAACTTGAATAAGTGTCCACTGTCAGCTGCCGACATTGAAAGCTGTTTTTAAAAACACATGCCAGGCCACCGCCCCGACCTGTCATACGAGGGGAGCTGAGGAAGGAACAATCAGGTGGAAGAAGCTCAGAAAATGCGCAACGCTCACCTTCCTTTAACCACGTCTCAATCAGCAATATGAAATCCAGTTTTCGTTATATAAAAAAGTCATTCAGAATGAATGTCTTGTTAGTCAACGATCTAACATTAATCAAACCCATCTGAATCGATAAAACAGGATTTGGGGGCTGAGAGACACGTCTCAGTGGTCGGAGATTAGATCAATTTACACCCCTTTTTAGATGTCATGAAAGTTGGCGATTTGGATGAGGGGCCAAGAAATCCAGGTCTATGGGCCGAGGCCAACCACAAATGAGGCCAGGTCAGTGAATCATGCTAGGATGACAACAACACCAGCTGGGTCCATGGCGATGGTCAGAGGCATCCGCAAAAGCAGAGCACCAGAGGGCCTTTAGGCGGACAGTCACCCCACTCCTCTTCCCTCGTTTTCTGGTATGCTTCCTTCGTGAGCAGATGAAGTAAGAACGCCGAAGATATGCTTGTATCTTCGCCAGTAATGGTGGGACAGTCTTTGAGTTATCCCAGCCCGTTACACTGGGACACTTTTCCATAGACGAACGAATATTAACAAGGGCGGCACAATTGTACATTAGTAGAGCTGATGCATTCCGAGTGACAAATGACAGAAACAGCACAAACAGTGTACAGGGAAAAGAGAGTTGGGCCAAGTACAGACCCCTGGGGGACACCACAGGAAAGGATAGTTGAGGAGGAGGAACAGTTACCAATATTAACAGAAAAACTTGTATTTGTGAGGTAAGAACTAATTAAGAACAGTACCATGAATTCCTATACACTGTTCCAGGTGAAATATGAGGAGTTCATGATCCACCGTATCAAAGGCAGCAGAGAGATCTAAAAGCACCAACAGAACTAGATCCCCAGAGTCCCTGGCCAACAAAATGTCATTATTAATTTTTAATAGTGCAGACTCAGTACTGTGTTTTGATTTAAACCCAGAATGGAATTGCTCCCCAATGCCATTATCTGTCAGAAAAGACTGGAGCTGAATAAGAACAATCTTCTCTAAAACCTTCGACATAAAAAATAATTTGGACACTGGTTGAGAGGCTGACGGCAGGCCATGAACAGCAGCGCCATCTTGACAACAGATGATTAGAGTTTAACATTTCTAACATTAGAAATGTTAAACTCTAAGAACAGTACCACGAATTCCTATACACTGTTCCAGGTGAAATATGAGGAGTTCATGATCCACCGTATCAAAGGCAGCAGAGAGATCTAAA